TGTTCACAACACAGCCCATGATTTCACTACATTGAAGTGTCTAGCTGATACAGGCAGTAATCAACATAAAAACTGTCTCAGATGAGGGAGAAGAAGTCTGCCTGTTTAAATTAGTCTCAGAGGAAACTCACTTGAGATAAAGCCCCAGGGTCATGGAGGCTACTGAGCCCCATCTGAGTGTTCAAAGAGCCCAAACCCAAACCTAGGCTGCCCCCATGGGGGAGGGAAAGAACTCATTCCATCTCCACTGCCTCATCAAGAGCTAGTTTATTCTGTTAAAACTTATGATCGATTGTTAAGTTTTGTTACCTCTTTGTTAGGTGCTAAGTGTTCTACTAGCTCTTGTGGTGAGGTCTCTCACCACAACCTGAGTTGCTAGGGCACCTTGGCTGAGGTGAACAACTGGCTTTTATGGCACCAGCTAACGGTGATTGCTGCTGGCAGCTTCCCTGGCAGGGAGGGAGATGTCACCCTTGCAGTTCTCGCTGCCTAAGGCAATGCGACCCCTTGCTGTTCTTAGTATCTGACTTTGCTGGGTCTGTTTTGTCCAGGCTGGGTCAATTCTCACTAACACTTGCCAACTCAAAAGGGGTTTCAGAAGACTGCCCATGAGCTGAGGGGCCACTTAAAGCATCTTACAGCAGAAACCTCCAAGGAGTCTAGCCAAGAACTAACCAGGCATTCCAGAATAACCAGCCTCTACGTGTTTCCTGGCTAATTGCAGCCATCTAATGCAGAGGTTTGGAAAAAAACCCTCCCAAAACCTCACTCTTTTTGTTGCTTGCACAGACAGGCTATTGCTGGCTGCAGGTATGAGGTAATCAGGTCTGTAACGCGCATGTGCAGTTTCTGAGGAGAACAGACCAAAGAAGACTGCCGCCCTCGTCCAATGACCACTGGGCAGAAGTCCGAAAGACCCAGAAACTAGGAGGAAGCACCTAAGAAAGAGACGCCCACCCCTGGACGAGCCGGCATTTAATGAATATGCATCAATTAACGAAATAAAAATGAACAATTTGGGACTGTTAATTGCGCATCTTGGTGGAGCGGTAACTCCCCGCGTGCCCAGCGCTGTGTGCCTGGCCATCCCAGTGCTGTTTGCTTGTTCTTGTTCGCTTAATAAATTATTGATTTGGCTAAATATCCCGTTTGGGACTCAAGTAATTTATAACACAGCCATTCCAGAATACCCAGCCTCTACATGCTCCCTGGTAATTGCAGCCATCTGATGCACAGGTTTGGAAAAGAACCCTCCCAACAACTCACTCTTTGCGTTGCTTGCACAGACAGGTTATGCACAACAACCACCACAGCAGCAGGAAGACCAAGAATCCCACAGCACCTATGATGAAATAGGTCCAGACTCAAGTAGACTTTCCTGCATTTGATTTTATCTTCCCATCCACACCTGGAGGAAGAATTCTACGTCTTAGCGTGAACACTACGGGTAATCTCACAGAAACTCTGACATTGCCAGGACGTGCTCTCCCACTTGGTTGGCATCTCTGACCCAGTGAATGTCCTGCGGCTGGAACATTTCCTCACCTTCAGCAGCAACAAAGGAAATGCCCCCAGCCCAGGAAAATCAAGGCACTCTGCAGCCTCTCTTTCTCCTCTCAGCTTTGTTGACTTTGTTGCTCTCCCTGCTCCTGATCTGGGCTCTCCCTGCTCCCAGGCTCAGCTCTCTCTCCTCCCAGGCTGAGCTCTCCCTGCTCCCCAGGCAAGTCCCACACTCCCTGCTCCCTGGCCAGCCTCACCCCAGGGGTGTCCGGATACAGGTGCAGCCGCTGCCCCATGTCCTGCAGCAGCCTGGCCGCCCGGTGCCGGTACCAGGGCTCCCCGGG